GTTCAGCTGGTGTCTTGGCTTTCCATGCCTTTTTACACCGCCCTTTCTTCATGTGTTCTACAGTATACTATTTCCCTGTGCCATTCCACATTATTACAAATAACTTCATTTCTGGACATTTATGGTTTGATTTCTTTGTATGTATGGATCACTTGGATTGTTACCGACATCTGGTGAAAATTTCATGTCATTAGCACCTCTAGTAATATATTTACTGAGAAAAATGGTGAAATGTTCAATACTTATTTTACCCACTATATAGAAATGCTTTGAGATCTCTTACAATCTTCAGAATCATTTTGAAATGTGCTTCAATAGACGCTCTGTTTTTGCATTTTTAGGTTACAGGGTTTTAGCTATGGTTCTGCTAATTTTTGCTTTTAGCTAACTTTTTGCTACATTTAGCTTTTAGCTATCATTTACTCCTTTGCTGTATTTTTTGATGCTTTATTTAGCCTTTTGCTTCCTTTAAACAACAGTTTCCTGGTTTTAGCATATTTTTGTGCATTTAGCTTTAATCTAACTTTTTATTACATTAGCAATTTGGTTCTTTTTTCGGTACTTTTAGCTTGTGTTTTTCTTCTTTTGGCTCCTGCATAAAATTAAGCTTCTTGTAGCTGCTGTTTGTTTTTTTAACTTTTAGCTAGTGTTCTTTTTTATTCGTTAACATCTCAGTTTTACCAGAAAACACAATTTCTCTGGTTTAGTGTTTAACTTTTTTTGTCAGTAATTGTGTTTTACTGACTTTATAATCCAAATTAGATAATAAAATGTAAAACAAGATCTTTTTCCTGTGAAGCACTCTGTGCCTCCTCACTTCTCAATATCTTCCTCTTCTTATCTCCTCCCATTTTTCCTTCAGGAGGGTGTGATATTTGATCTTTTTTTAAATGTTGCAATCCGTCCTGCTACTGCACTGCTCTCGAACCTCTATAGAGGCGTAGGAGCAGCAAGAAGCGACAGGCTGAAGAGGAAGATGACAGCGGAGCGTGCAGTCCTTTGGGATTTAGAAAAATGATTGGATAGACGCTGTAGGATAAGATGACAGGAGAGTGCTGTTGTTCTGTACAATCTGTGTATTGGCCTATTTGTTCAGCTGCCACTGAGTTTTACCAGCAGCAGCTTTCTGCAGAACAGAGGCATCTCTCTACTCATTTTCCCACGACAAATTCAACATTAGGGAACAGATTCTGAGCTGTCAGGATTTTTTTTAATATTATTATTATATTTTTTACAAACTCAGCTTTCTTGCTCTGAGTAGTGTGGCTGAACAAACTCTGGAGCTTCAAAGCAAGGCAAGGATGAAATAAGCACCTGACTTCTTGGTAAAACATTTGTTGACCTGCGGGGATGTCGGCTTTCAGGAGGAGCAGGAATTCCAAACCTTCGACAGACTCTATTTATGATGCATTTCAGCTGGTAAGCCTCGCAGTGTGTGTCAGATTGTGTGTTGTGGATTTGAGCCTGCACAGGACAGTGATTATATCATGCTACTGTACCAGCAGGGCTAAGCCCATGCAGGTCTGTTTCTGGTAAAAGCAGCCATCCAAACGATTTATGTAATTCTTGTTTTTAATCACGTGTTATTTGTTGTTGCAGCTGAAAGGTTTGCATGTGTCTGGTAAATGTCTCACAAACCCCTGGACTGATTTTGATATGGTCGCCACATCCTTTTGACATTAGAAAACACAAAATTGTGTATAATTTAGTCAGCTTAATATATAGCTGTGCTAAACTTTGGTGTAGTTGTAGCTCAAAGTTGTGCCCAACACACTTTAAAGGTATGAGATCCACATTTTAGAGAATACTAGTTTCTTAATTTAAATTGAAATGTTCTGACATTTCTTTTATACTATCCTGTTAATCCAAAAGGATTGAACAACTGACACAATGTTGCATAAAACATCTTAAAATGTGCCTGATCACCAAAAAATATTTATACTATTTTTGTATCATTTAATTGTCCGAYCTTTCTCACATTTAAATCCTTCRGTTGGAGTCTATATAAAGTGGAACAGCAATGCTRTGGTCGGAATTCCTCCTTATTGTAACTCCACAACCCCTCTTGATATGTCTTATTTGAGAAATAGTGTAGTTGCTGCAGCAGGCAGCCATCTTTCTCYTCCATCCTCTCTTGTTGTTAGTTGCATGCTATCATCCATATCATCCTATAGTAAAATCTTATTTAAGTGATAAGATTGTAACTGTTGTTTTTTGTCTGTAGAAGAATGTTATCACAGTATGAATCAGTCCATGTTTGCACTCTGCATCCTCTCCTGATACAAAGGTCTCTGTTTATAGTGTAAGGA